TAAATCCACCAGTTGCATTTTCGTTTTCGCAAAATGAACGAAATCGATACCGGTTTATTCTTGGATTTATTTACTTTTACACCGGTTTAGGTTTATTTCAACTCGTGAAAGGGTTATAAAAATAGGAACACGTGCGGAAAATTATTGGTTAATTGCAATTAACGCATTTGGAATGCCGCATTTAACGCAAATATGCTCTTCCAGCAGACTAGTCGAGTGGCCATAAGGCCTTTAGTGCACGTGCGCTAAATACGTTCGCGTGTAATGAGCCACGAACTTTGAATAGCTCGCAATACGTACTGCGTATATATATATAAACCCCTTTTGACTAAATGCAAGCATATCAGACATACCTAGGTCGAGCGTTTTTCCAATGCCCGGCAGATTAGATTGCATTCCTACTGCGCCAACATTAAGTCACCACGGCAAACAAACGAAATTATTCGATAAGAATTGTAGAGGGAAGATAAGGAAATCTCTTTCGAGCAGGAATTCCAAGTTTTCCTAACGTTCATTCTAATTTTTTGTTGTTGTTTGTTGTTTGCTATTTCCTGGTAGCAGGAAGCTATATTTCCGCGGTGAAAGTTCATCGCTTTGTGCGCGTAGCACAATTACGATGTAATTAAATGTATGTATGCTTCGGAATCAATTGGCTCTAATTAATTTAATGGAATCCTCTCATACCCTTCACGAACTCTGGATTCTCCTTCCACCTCCAAAATCTAATTCGTGATTTGCGCAAACACGGCGTTCGTGTACGACTGAGCAACTTGCCGACTCATGTAATCGATTCAATTAACAAATATGTCTAATTGCCAACTACGGCTTTACCTACTAATTGGACCGTTAAATCCACCCTCGGTGCATCGGCCACCGTAGCCAATCGATTTCCACACTCCACCCGAAGATAAAAAAAAAACAACAACAGAACAGAACTCTCTGGTATCCATCTGTTTCACTTAATCCGAAGCACCGGCGGATGCGGTGCACCAAAACGTGCTGCATTCTAAAGCAGATTGAAATTTAATAATTAAATCTAATTTATTTCGTGCACTTCTCTATACTTTGCATTCAACTAAAGAGGCGTTCGTTCGGTTAAATACTAAGCAAACGTTTACATTCAAATCTACACTTTACATAATTATTATTATTATACAAAACATAATTTTAAGAAAAGTAAAAGTGCAATTCAATAATTTAAAACCAAATATTTTCGCACTTAAACCAATTGAATTATGTAGCAACTAATTGGAATGAACTCTGATTTAATTATCTTTTACTTCTGTTTACTGAACGCATAATAATAATAATAAGTTGCACTTAATTAAATTTTATGGAAATGGATGACTGGGATATTAATAGTTTTTTTTTTATTATGCGCGCTTCGCACGTAACGAATTTTGCAGAATTTGATTAAGACCAGGGGAATTTTCGTAGTTGGTTGAGCAGTTAATCCGGACCGTAACCCGTGTGTATTTACTGCCTACAATTTAATGTTGTTTGATGTTTTCATTGCACGACTTTTATTAACCTCAGGGTAAATACGCGTAAAATACGAGGCAAAAAAATAAAAAAAATAAAATTGAAACGTCTTGGCAAAGTGTAAAACTGTAATCTGCAAAGTGCGACGGAGATGATTATTGCTGAACAAGCTTTTATATGCAACAATTTCGTAGAGATATTGTATCATATATATTTTATAGCATTTATATTGCCTTATTTATTATCATTGAGTAATTAGAAAGTGAACACCTTTGAAAAGTTGTTGTAAATCAATATCGAATATAAAATTATTGAAGATTTATTAACTATTGCGATTTGTGTATTATAATTAAATTGGAGGTGTTGTGTCAAATGATTGAATTGTTTGGGTTGAGATTAAGTAATTAGATGTGGGTTTTTATGTGATTTGAGTTTGTTGGGATTGTGTGTGGATGCAATAAACGTAAGTGGTAAAGGGTTGGGATTACGTTCCAAGGGTCGCATTGAAATCTGGTGCTTCGGTGGTATTACGGAGGTAAGCGGGAGAGGATGGAATTAATTTTGCAGAAAAAGTGGGCGACGGCGTATGCGAGTTATTCGGAAAATTGCTATAGGGGTGGTGGCGTCTCCTGAGAGACGAAGAAGAAGGGAAAATCGTGTGCACTTCTCTAGGTATACAACATACACTTGTACATATAAAAATCAATAAGGAGCTTATATTATATAAAAGGCGCACGTTCACTACTACTACATCGTTCCATCTTGCCTTTTCTCGCCACTTCTCTCCCTTTCGCCCGTGGACTGCCTCCAAAGTCCCTTTTGTGCTTCGCACATACAACAACATATTACGAGCGACGGCGGCATATTCAGCGCATTAAATCTGGGTCACAGCACAAACAGAAAACTTTCGCGCACAAAATGTATACCGATTATACAAGGCAATCCCCGGGAAATAAATGGAATAATCCCGGGCCCTAATCGAAACCTTTCTGACCCGCAACAACGGCAGCAAAAAAAAACAATGAAATAAAGAAAGCCAACCAACCCTTACCATCGTTCTCTATCCAAAAGGAATCACTCGTCCTCGAAACAAATTAAATACAATGTTTCGTGAATTTCGATGCGGCGAGGATGGAGCGAAAACTTCTGCTCCAATTTGCATCGTTACATAATACCCGAGCATACCGTTTCCGAACACGCGAAGCCAGGGCGGGCGTCTTCGCAACGTAATGATTTGTGTTCCATGCAACATAATGGACTTTCTCTCTCTCTCTTCTCTTTTCGCTTCTCTCGTCGCTTCGTTTTCCACCCCGGGAGCAAATCTGAAGCTCTTCGCATTTCCAACCTGAAGTGTCCTTCCAATTTGCCCGGATCCCCTTTCAGGCTAATTAACGCTTAAATAACGCGCGTTTTTTTTTTCGTTGTTCCTCCAAGTGTTTGCTTTTATTTATTTGTTTTTTTTTTCGTGTCCGTCGACCCCGCAAATCCGCGGAGCAAACAGGAGATGGATGCAGGCTCATGAAAAGTCCCCTGAAAAACATTTTTCCTTCGCTGGTCGATACGTCGCTCAGGTCGTCCTGCTGCAACGTACAAACAAGGAGGAGTAGGAGGAAAGCAAGGGTCGCGCACCATTCCTTCCTTTCTTTTCGAGGGTAAAGTGCGCGTGATCTTGTATATAGACACACACATATAACCACCGCTTTAGTGCCGCTTAAATCGCGTCACTTTCCAAGATCTGCAGACTGGAGAGATAGAAAGGACGCAACGGCAGAGAAAGAGGAGAGATCGCAATCTTGGGAGATGTTGTTCTTTTTATTTATTCTTCGCTTATTTTATTTCATTTGCCCGTCTGGTGATTCGATCGCCTCGTCGTGCAAAACGCAAGCAACGGAGACTCGGAGATTCTTTAATCATCCCCAAGTGATCAAAATCTCGAAAAGTGGAAAAACGCGCATACAAAAGGAGCGAAAGAAAGTAAGAGAACGAGAGATAGATAGAGATGCTCCCCTTTTATAGTAATGAGGAATATACACACGCTCTTTGTTTCACGGCCCTTCCATTGTCTCGCAAAACATTCACCACTTGTCTTCACTTCGCTCGTTTCTGTTTCCCTCATTCCCCATCCTCCAAAAACTGAAGCAATCTCTAACTCTCTCTTTCTCGTGCACACTCATTTCATGTTGGCAAATAATTAGACTTTGGTTTAAATTTTGCGCCATCAAAGTCTGTTTAGCGATTTGCTGAGGAAGGGAGATAGAGAGAACGCGCGTGAAAGGGATCTGGGATTGCATTCAGCGGCATCCGAGAGCAGGAAGCGGTTCTGGGCTTTTCTCGTTTGATTGGAACTGCCGGAATCCAAAGCTCTCTTTTCCGCTCAAGCGAAATCCGCATACACGTTTTGTCCCACTTTGGTATTCGAAGTAATTGAAAGAGAAGTGGAGGATGAAGAGCAGGTCGTCGTCGTCGTCATCTGCATCGGATTGAATCGAGTGTCGTGATCGTTTGCAAACTACAGATGTTCTAATTAAGCCACTGCTTTTGATGGTGATCATGGCGATGGTGATGAGAGGAGTCCTGCTCTATTGATGAAACCGTTAAGCCACCAACAAAGCGCTTTCTATTTAATGCAGCATTTAGGTCTTCGACACACAAGCTTCCATTAACTGGTTCAACCACTGTTTACTTCTAAATTAATCACATACTTTGTGTAATTAAATGTCCATTTGACGACTTACTGAAGTTAAGATTAGCTAAAGTGATGTCTACTTGTAACAAAAGAACTAATCGTTATCTTTTTGTTAAGAGCATTTGAGAGATTTGTGGGATGTACTTTATATTCGAGTTATTTAATCAAGCAATTCATGAGGCGTTGTTAGCAACGATCCGGCTGTAAGATAAACCCTTGGGGGGGGGGTTATCTGGGATAAAGCAATATCCAATTATTTCCGTTTCAATTATTCATATCTGATCTGCACCTAATTAAACCTAAGCTGAGGCGGCGGTGGCGTCCGTATTGAACTGTTGAAAGTTGCTGGAGCAAAAGGCTTTCCGGAATCGAATATTCATCGATGATTTACATCTGCATGGATGTGCAGAAATTGGAAGGGTGAGAGAATGAGTTTAGAGGAGTGCGCGTGGAAATTGCCATCGGCATTATGTTTGAGAGTTTGATGCGGCAATAAAACGATGCGATTATGTCGACTTTTGACGATGATTTGGAATGTGTGCGGACTGCGATAATTGTGCGGCCCCATTAAAAGTTGCGGTAATAGTCGTAAAACATTTATTTTATGGAAATACGGGGGCGGTTTCGCTCGAATTTCGAATGCAAATTTCGTTAAAGCGACGGTTCGGGGTTACGACCCAAAAAGCCATTTCCTTCCACTTACAAGAATCCCGTATCCAAAACCTCCCTCTCTCTCACTCTCTCACACCGTCTTCTTTCTTCACCTTCACAAGATTTTCCTTCCATCTGAGAGACAGTTCAATGTTTATTAATTGCGATTTTGTTGTTTCAGTCCGAGCAATACGGCCCTGAGCACGCTGGAGCAGGTGAAGGAGTACCTGCTGACTCCTGGGACGTGCAAATGTGGACTCGAATGCCCGTTAAAATACGACAGCGTTTTCAACTTCGACCCTAAGGTAAGCACGACATCTAAATATGTGTATTTATAGATTTGCTAGTAATTCATTGTGTGTATATATATGTGCACATTTAGTGCAGCAGAGAACTGTAGTATTTTATGGTATACTGGTGGAGCAGGCAGTATGTATAATCGAGTCTCCCCCCCTAAAACTTGAAACTGCATTAGAGTCTTCGCAAATTGGATTCGCGCCGTTACTGTTGCTCGGCGCCAAATGATAATTGATTTTCCTCAGCCATCCCCCTTCCACTCAACACAGAAACGACGGGTCTGTGGTGTGAGGGAGGAAAGCTTCCCTCCACTACCCTACGAGCCCTTCCTTCTCTTGTGCTTTAGCGCAGTTTGCAAATTGGAGGCTTTGTAAATTGTTCTACGACAAATATGCCTTCATTCCTCCGCACTTAATTATCTCTCGTCACAGATTAGTCTTAATAGAAACCATCCCCCTTGTTAAATAACTGCGGATTGTTCGTGCAGCCTTCCCGAAATAAGCAGCAGCACTAATACCTTTTATCTTGTAAAGTTATTTCTTTTTAAACTTCCAAAGTAATTTCTTTCTCAACAAATAATAGTTGAGTTATTTACTACCAATTCCTTTTATTGTTTTATAAAATGCGAACATATTATTTTTCAAACAGTAAGTTAAATAATATGAATACTTAATACGGAACTTGTCTAAATACTTGAAAAGTATAGGATTGTAAACTATTCCCCTCAGAATGCTCCGCACTTAATTATTTCTCGTCACAGATTAGACTTTAATGGAAATACTTCTCATCCCCCTTTACACTGAACATAACATCGGATTGCAGACGAAGCAGCAGGATAAAGACGGCGAGGAGCCGCAGTTGCAGCCACTAATACCCTTATCTTCATAGTCGGCGTCGAGGGTGTGCATCCCCCGTAAACCGAGCTTTCCTTTTAAACTTCTGCACTCAATAAATAATGCATCAATTATTTCAATTTTCCGACTGCGCGATCCCCTTTATCGTGCCCCGCTTTTCGTTTTACGCAATTGCAGATAATTCCCGACGTCTGGGTTTTTGGGGGTTGCGCTTGGGGTTTTCTCCTTGAGGAGATGCCATCAGCTCGTGTCCTCCGAGTAAACATCAGGGAGTGGAATGAAGTCCTCCCCCGCCCGTGTGCTGCACGTATAGACAGACGACGAACATCAAACAATCCACCCCCGCAATCTTTATGCAACAGAATTTACTTTTATCGCTTCGCATAAAGGCGAAATCGATTCCAGACCCTTCGCCGCGAGAAGAGGAGATGAGTAAGAAAAAGAGAGAATCAGGAGATGAAAGGAAAAACATATAATAATGGGGTAGATGCTGTTTCTTCTTCGGCAAAGATTGAATAACAACGTTCCACATTCATCATTATTGCCGTATCTCGTGCACGATTAATCACCAAGGGCGCGAGGTGCGCTGAATTTTAATTATTCCCGGGCAGGAAGCGCGCTTTCTAATTAACCCGACGCTCAAATTCGTATCCGTGGAACGTTTAATTACGATAATTATAATCACCTTCTCTTTCTCTCCCCTTCTGTCTGTCTCACAATTGGAGGCGCAGCGCGTCTGAAGATTAAAGACCCAAATGTGATGGCCATAATAATAACAATAATGGTAATAACAAAGAGGCCGACCTTAAGCCATTGTCTCGCTACTTTCGCTCGGCATATACTTACACTACTATATTTGGTGACTTCGAAAGACAACATTCAACGACCTCCTTCAATATCATCATCATCCGTACGATTTCAGTTCGAAGGTCTACTTAATCATATTTAATTAAAGACCGCTTTGATTTACATTCGTTTCTTGATTTATATTCAATCCCAGACAATTTAGTGACTGTAAAGATCCTAAATTACAATTATCAAATGTAAACATGCTAATTTATTACAACATCAATTTAATAACAGATAATTTTCTTGATTTATGAATAATTTTAAAGACATTAAAGATCATAAATTAGAATTATCAATTCTTACCCTTTATTGTAAACACCTACAATTAGATCCTTTTTGAATATCATCTATAAATTCTAAACAGAAATATAAAAATAAGTAAACATTAATGATAGATAATAATGGTGTCATGAAGATTAGACCTCGAGTCTTTTAAATGAACTTCATTATATCGTTCATTAATTACGTACTCGCTCACGCATAGACTTTTCCGGCTATTTCCGCGCTTTTCAAACACAAATCTTTTGTTTCAATGAAATTCCAAACCCCTCTCTAAAAGCCCCCGGTTTTTCCCTTTTACAATCTCCATTAAATTCGTCCTCTCTTTGATATTCGCTTGATGTTTGCGTTCCAAATCAATGAAAGCAAAACAAAAAGAATAAAATCCACCAGTTTCGGATTATAGCATTTGCTTTGTTTTACTGGCAATCTTTTATTATCTTTTATTCAATACAAGTAGACTGCAGAAACGTAAAGTGTGGGATATAAATAAAAATAAATAAATAACGATAATTTAGAAATGTGTTTCGTGGTGAAACAATGTCGATAATGGGGCGAAATTCGGTGCGTAATAAAATTCCATGTTTACATTGCGGTCGGAAAATTGGGGATTTATTGAAATTTTATTCAAATAACGGCGGTGGAAAGGAGAGAGAGAGAGAGAGGATAGAACGACGAGGGAGAAAATAAATAAATAAATAAATAAATGAAAAGCGGGACGGTATTGAACCCTCGGGCTTGGTTGTTTCTCTCGTCTGCAAAGTCGACACTACTATATTTTTATTTATATTTTCCCTCCGTCTCTCTGAATATTTTAATATATCAGAGGGTGAACGTTTCGCCGAACGTGATTTTATCCGTGCATGGAAGTTGAAAAAGAAATTGTACTACAGTACAAATCGGCGGTGTTAAATTATGAGTTAAGGCTTTGGATTGATTTTTTTTTTCGCTCCCCTAGACTCGGCGAGGCAAGCAGAGATCCCTGAAGTTTCGAAATGATTAAACAAGTTCAGGATGGGGGAATTATGTTTGCAAAAGAGCGGATGAAAATTAACCTTTTCCCCCCCATCTCTCCCTGACATTCTTTCATTTTTATTTTTTTCGTCGAGTTCCTCTCGCAGGAAATTAAATTCAAATGAAGGTTTTTTTGGTATTTCATTATCGATTCGAATTTTTGGAATTTTCACAGCGTCATATCCTCTTTTATATTTCCACTTGGTGATGGTGGTAAATTAAAAGTTATTGTGATGTGTGTTTGCAAATGCTGCTGGTGTGTGAGGGGTTGGATGATGTGATGGAATCGCGGGAGGGTTGGATTTTGCCGCAGCCGCACGCGCGTTTCCCGCATATCAATCAAACAAGGCCGTCCCTTCTGGAACGTCAATAAAACGGGCCAAAAGTTTCCAATTACCGGCGGCGCGATGTTTGCCCACCGCAGAGTTGCCGCCAACTCACTCCAATATCCGTGGTTTTCGCAATTTTTGGGTAACAAAAGTTGAAAGCGGAGCAGAGTTCTCTTTGTATTCGGTTTGTATGATGAGGGAGCTTTGTGCTTTGCGCCACCTGATTCGCTTCTGATAACTCTCGGATCGGGGGGACGGGGGTGTCTGCAACATGCAACCCCGCATGTTCACCTGTTGGCGTTCGCTTACAAATTAGATAGATTTAATTATATAATTATGCGATGTCATCATAACTCTTCCTCTCCCTCTTCTTCGTTTCCTTTTTGTGCTTACACGAGCTTTGCGTGCTTCTTTCGCTCCTAAATATAATGGAGCGGCGGACGCAGTGCAAACACACGGAGAAGACGAACGCCCCTATGGCCTTAATTAATTGTGACTGTTTTATGGTGCACGAAGGAATTATGAATATAATAAATTGCCATTAGCCTGAGTAATGAACGGATTTCCACATTCGTCACATTGCATACCAATCCATTAACGCGAGCCGACCGACCGTCAGACCACAAAAGACCGTTTCGTGGAAAACCAGATATTTTAACACCGCTTCGATATTATGAACTCGCCTCTAACGGCGCAGCATTCCCGGGCTGTTATGTTAAATCGCCGATGGACGACAGAATGCGTTATGTGTTACTTTCACGAAGTAGTTAAATCACTTTGATGCGGGATTTCTAGTACTATCGAGCGAAGAAATCTCGGAATTATAAACGCGCTTTTCTTAACGGGAATGATTTAATCATCGCTTAATTCCCGCACTTTGCGCATTTGGCAGATGGTTTGTCTTCAGATGCCATAATCAAACGACTTACAAACACCATCACTCAAGATTTAATGTCTTCAAATGAATGCAATTAATTTGCAATTACACAAAATCTCAAATACTAATAATATAATCAATAAAAAGTTCGTAGTTATGTAATTAATTTATGAATTTAGTTTACTAATATGTAAAGTTAATGTAAACATTTTCGTATTGTAATATTGAATAATCGTTTTATATTCATGGGATTTTTATTTCGAATTAGAGTTCGTCCGAAGAATACCAACTGATGAGTTATGATAAATGGGGGCCGAAAAGTCTTTGTTCTGCGAAGAATCTTTAGTATTCAAAAGAGCGAAGTAGGGATTCCCGTTATGGCTTATGCACGACATCGAAGCTCCGCTCTTTAGTGGCTCGATTTCAATCAGACTAGTGTGTATATTTACGCTTCTTCTTCATCATTTTTGTTTTTTTTTTGCTCTTTGTCTCGCGTTTGGAAATTATTAATGGCGTTTACATTAGAAGCGGTGGCGGCGGCAAAGTAGGAGGTGGCGGAGGAGGATGAGGTCTGATTTATTAGCCGGGGAATATTTCATGTGCGCTGCTCTATCTCTCATGTATTATTAATTCCCCGTGTTTATTCTCCGATGAGTTTCTTCGTTTTTCCTTTCTTCCCTCGCCAGTCTGGCGAATCCACCCACCAAGGCAATCGCTTACATCGGGAAAATGCTCGAAAAACAACAATGGGGAAAAAGTTTTGGTAGCAACCGACGGTAGTTGCTACTGGAATTCCAATTTCCATG